AGAGAGAGACATCTAGAATTTCCATGCATTGCAGCTGTGAGTAGGACTTGCAACATCTGACGTTGTCTACCCTTTGGAAGCCTGTTTCTTGCACTAGTATTTGAAGCACAGATGTGAGAGCTTTGAGAGTTCACTCTAGCTGACCAGTCACGAGTGTCCCATCCCCAGACAAGAACCCACCACAGCATTTACAAAAGGCGGGAGACTCATCACTCAGTACAGTCCCCCACGCGTCCCCAACATGGTACATGCTCATCACCACAACAGAGTAGCTGTTCCGGGCCGAAGCCCGCGGCGGCCAGCGCAGCTATCGCAGTCTATGCCATCTGTCAGATGAGGAGATCGCACCAGACTTGGAAAAGAGAGCGCCCTCCCGCCGGCGGGACAGCGAGTCCAGCGAGTGGCTCTTCCTACCTGTCCGAGAGCCCGCGGGCGGAGGTTGGGTCCGGGCTGGGGAGGGACTGGAGGAGGCCTTGCGGGCCGCGCGCGGTGCCGGCGAGGCCGGGAGGCTGGCGCTGCTGCAGCTGCTGCTGCTACCCGCACTCGGCGCCGGGGCTGCGGCCGCCGCGGGGCCCAACGGCGTGAAGAGGCGCCTCTTCTCCTCGCGCACGATGCGCTCGCGCTCCGCCCGGCACTGCTGCAGCTTGGCGCGCCGCTCCGCCTCGTACGCCTCGTACAGGCCGGTGGCCACCCGCATGGAGCGGCCCGGGGCCTCGCGCACCAGGTCGGCCAGGGCCCGCGGCAGCAGCTCCACGGGCTTGACGGCGCAGCGGGCGCAGGCCTCCAGAGAGCGCGGGCTGGTCAGCACGTAGCGGCTGCCCTCGGCCTCTGGGCAGTCGAAGTTGAAGAGGTCCAGGTGCAGGAGCGGCGACTGCTCCCGCCGCCCGCCTTCTGCTGCGCACGTGACCTCGGCCTTGCCGGGCGCCGCCGCGGACGCAGACGCAGAGGCGGCCTCGGGCTGCTGGGCGCCTTGGGCGTCCGGGGGCACGGACGCCGCGGCCGCGTCCCCTCCCGCCCCGCCGGGCTCCGCGCCTTCCTTCTCCTCCTCGGGCACCGGGTCCACCATGGCTGAGCCGCGTGCTTTGTCGGCGTCTCTGCGGGTGACAGGGAGGGAGTAGAGGAATACATCTGAGAGCTGTCGCCCCCTCCGCACCCACGGCCACCCCTCCCGATTTAATCCGTTTCCTGGATTAGGCTCAGAGGTCTGGTGGAACGTAAATCCTAAACCCGATGGCCTGGAAACCCAGGCCGGGCGGCCTGGGTGGGGGACGCGGGGGCTCGGAGCACAGCCTCAGCTTCCCCCGGCCCCGGCGTGCTGGGCGGAGGTCTGCGGCGATGCCCCCCACCCCTCCCCGCGGCGCCCGGCCCGCTGGATGCAGCCCCTTCATGCTGCAAGTTAAAATGGAAAGATCACGGTGCAGGCAGCGAGGGAGGCGCTGGAGGATTCCCGGGAGGATTAGCGTATTTGTTTGTAGCTTAGGCGGGCTGCCGGGCTGCAGTTTTGCAGGAACACACAAAAAAAGAGAAGAGGCCTGTGCATCCAAAAGTGCATTGCTGCGAGGACCCCGTTTACCAAGGGAAGAAGTTTAGGGTTGATTTCCCACTGCCAAAGGAGACCCATGGCTCAGGGCCCACGGATGATGGCAGGGCTGAAAGAAATCCCCAAGGACGTGCCGGGAGGGGTGGTGGATACTTGCTCCTGCCTCCCGGGCAGGGCTTGCTAGGAGCTCTGCCCGCCTCTTGTACCCCAACCCCCACCGGGTGCATGCGAGGGATGGAGAAGGTGCCTGCAGCCTTCCGAACGCACCCGATCTCCTCCGCAAGTCGGAAGGTACGACAGGGACCATCCACCCAGCCTAGGCTCGGACACTCGCCCCCAGATGCTCACCAGATACCTCCCAGCGCACCCCCAGCGGATGGGCTCTGGGAGCGCCAAGAGCCCGGCGCGCCCGTGCCCGCCGATCCGACTTACCCACGTCCCAGGCTCCGGCCCCGCGCCGCGGGCTTTTGTTCACAGCTCGCCGCTCTCCCCGGCGCCTCTTCAGTCCCCGCGCCGGCGGGGTCGGGTTACTGCCTGCTGCAGCCGCGAAAGGAGCCCCAGCTGCCGCCTCCGGCGTCTCTCCATGGGGTCCGCGAGCGGGGCGCGCACACCCGGGGCGCTACCTACTGCGGGAGGGGGAGTGCGACCGAGTCTCCCCAAAATAACGCGGCTCTGCGCGCTTCGCTCACACAGATTCTTTAAAAAGGAAGCCCCGTTTCCATCGCTGCTGCATCCATCGCCACCTCTATCACCGCCAAGGTACCGCAGGTCCTTTGCCTCCCCTGGCGCCTCCTGGTGGACAGTAAGGGATGTTGGTTCTGTTGGCTTGGAGGACCAAGAAATCAAATAAACATGTATGTACACATGTATTACAGTATACGTAATATTTATGTAGCCGGGATACTTGGGGAGGTATGCGATATCTGTGAACAACTCGTACCTGCGTGCTACACGCTTATGGAATTATATGTTCGTAGATACACATCCATCACCCAGGAACCGGGAGACCTGGAGCTGTTCACTGAGGAGAATGAAGGCATCTCTGCGCTTGTTTCTCAAGGAGACCCTGAGAAGCGGAGAAAAAAAAAGATGATAGCAAATAGCTGGGTAGAAATGCACCCGATACAAACTATGATTTTATCTTTTAAGAAAAACCAAGTGCACTCAGTGTGGGTTTGAGGCAGGCAAAAAGCTGGTAGCTGGTGTTTCATGCAACCTTGATTTCCTGGTTCCAGATAATAGAACTAAAGCCAGTTAGCGCCGGTGCCTGGGTTTTATTTTGAGGCAGCTCCTCCCCACCTCCTTTCCAGAGACAGATGGGAGAAATCCTCGAGGGAGGGACTGAGGGGGACATGGCATCGAGGAGCACAGTGGGCTGTGTGGTCACACGATGCTGACGTGCACAGCGAAGCAGGAAAGTGGCCCGATTTGCCTTGTGTTTTAGGAACAGAGAGGTGGAGGCTTCACAGGGCCAAGAGGAGGCTGGAAGTGCAGGTAGCAGGACGCTGCAGTCGCCCGGGGCAGGAAGGCTTGGGACACGAGCAGGAGTGGGTCTGAAGAGGAGGGGATATGGATTCCATAAACAGCAGAAGAGGCAATGCTCAAAGATAGCTTGGCTCTGGGGCGTGAAGAACAGCAGGGGTCCTGGGGACGACAGCTTGAGTTGGAGGTGCCGCTGCTCACCAGGGGGCTGGAGAGCTTGTGTCAGGAGCTAGAATCTGGGGTGTCATCACCATGTACAAGGGTCTTGATGGCCACAGCGCGAGATCAGCCAACAAGGGCAGGTGGAGCCACAGAGAGAGGCCAGCAAGGCATCTGGGGAGAGACAGATCAGGGAGAGGCAGGAGTGTGGTTTGTGCATTGCAGAGCACTTCGGAAGGAGGATATACCCCTAGCATCAAGGGCTGCAGAGGGCGGAAGGGATTTGCCCAGGGGTAAAACACGCTGAAACTGGAAGTTATCTGTGTTTGGTGACACTGACAAAAACGGTTTTGTATCCTACTGGGAGCCAACGTTCAGGAGATTGAGGTACAATGGGAGGTGACACAGGGAGAGTTACTGATTCTTTTTTTTTTTTTTTAGATTTATTTATGTATTTGAAAGAGTTACACACAGAGAAAAAGAGAGGCAGAAAGAGAGGTACTCCATCCGCTGGTTCACTCCCCAGCTGGCTGCAAGGACCAGAGCTGTGCCAATCCGAACCCAGAGCCAGGAGCTTCCTCCAGGTCTCCCACGCGGGCACAGGGGCAAGCACTTGGGCCATCTTCTACTGCCTTCCTAGGCCATAGCAGAGAACCGGATGGGAGGTGGAGCAGCTGGGACTCGAACTGGCATCCATGTGGAATGCCGGCAATGCAGCTGGCGGCTTCACCCGCTACACCCAAACGCTGGCCCCAGTTACTGATTCTTTTGACAGTTCAATGATAGTGTTAAAACCTCAAAAGGGGCCGGCGCCACGGCTCACTACGCTAATCCTCCACCTTGTGGCACCGGCACACCGGGTCTAGTCCCGGTCGGGGCACCAGATTCTGTCCCGGTTGCCCCTCTTCCAGGCCAGCTCTCTGCTGTGGCCAGGGAGTGCAGTGGAGGTGGCCAAGTACCTGGGCCCTGCACCCCGTGGGAGACCAGGATAAGTACCTGGCTCCTGCCATCAGATCAGCACGGTGCGCCGGCCATGGCGGCCATTGGAGGGTGAACCAACGGCAAAGGAAGACCTTTCTCTCTGTCTCTCACTCTGCCTGTCAAACAAACAAACAAACAAACAAAACCTCAAAAGGGTTTGGGATCTTGTTCTCACCTGCTCATGAGTTAGCCCACCACAGTTTCACTGGTACTGGAGGAGGATCTGAGACTCCTGGGTCAGAAACGAAAGACTTTGCTACTGGTAGCACAGCAGGAAGCAGAAGATCCTGTTTCTGTTAGCTCCCCTTGCTCCACAAGCATCGTGGAGAAGTCGCCGGGCTTCTGTCCCAGCTGCACAGCCCCAAGCTTGGTGACGGCCTGATCTTTTATGGGGAGCCACTAGCGCAGCTGCTCAACCTTTGCCCCAAAAGGAGACATTATCTTTATTACTCTGACCTGGAGGCAAACAGTATCTCTGCCAACTAGGGGTGCTTACTTTACAAACATCCCTGGAACAAACTCCTTCACAAGACACGCAGAAATGTTGGAAAAAATTGTTCTTAACAGGGGCCAGCACTGTAGCACAGCAGATGGAGCCGCCAACTATGACACCAGCAACCCATGTGAGCAGAGGTTCAAGTCCCTGCTGCTCCATTTCTGATCCAGCTGCCTGGTAATGCACCGGGAAGGCAGCAGAAGATGTCCAAGTGTTTGGGCCCTGCCACACACATAGAAGACACAGATGGAGTTCTGGGCTCCTGGTTTTAGCCTGGCCCAGCCCTAGTCATTGTGGCCATTTGGGGAGTGAAATAGAGGATGGAAGATCTCTTTCTCTGTGTCTCTCTGTCTTTGTTTCTCTCTCTCTCTCTCTCTCTCTCTCTCTCTCTTTCTGTATGTGTTTATGTGTGTGTGAACTCAGCCTTTCAAATAAATAAAATAAATCTTTTTTTTTAAAAAAAAAAGCTGTGATTGGTCACATGACTAGCAAGTAGTGGGACTGGGATTTGGATGTGGTGCTGTCTAATCCCGAAGTGAATGCCATGTTTTGTATTTCCACACCACCCTGAGCTTATGCAAAGATGTGGATCCAGAGAAAGAGATGAGCAGGTGGCAAGCCCACCTCTCCAAACAGAATCCCTTTACACGGAAGCCCCTTAACTGCCTCCTCGATCGGTTGATCACATCCATGGAACAGCTATGTAAACGTAATCTTTGTCCCCCAGCACTCCTATTTGTTCATTGGGTAGGAAGTCCTACCTTCCAGGGTTGTTGTCACAGTGCAAAGACCATTTGTAAAGAAACTAAACCAGCACACTGTCAATGCTTGGGGATAAAATTGCGACCATTTACTTTGCTAATCCTGATCTTGCAGATGTGGTCAGAACCCACAGGGAAACATCTGTAGTGTGTGTAACTTCTTAACACGATGCCCAACAAATGTCCCACCCTTGATTGGGGAACATCCCACCACCCAGCAAGGTCATGGCAGGAGAGGCATCTGGAGGGGGCCTGGAAATAGGGCTCCACTTGGGGAGCTGACTTAGCAGTCAGTGGGGTGCCACCCAGCGGTCAGAGCTCTCACCTCCCATCTCCAAGTGCCTGGGCCATTTCAGGAGGTGCGTTCACACAGGTGCGTGCTGATTTCCTTCAGCATGGGCACCCCAGGCTGCTGAAGGTCAGGGTGTTACATCCGATTTCCTTACGACAGCCAGAAAAGGAAGCAGCACAGTTTCAGAACACGCCGCTGCCTCCCGGGGTCAGGGAATGGACGTGATGGGGAGCAATGCAGCCAGACTGAGAGTTCAGATTCCACGTCCACCCAAGTGTCTCACTCTCTCTGAGACTCAACTCCCTGTGTTTATTTTTATTTGTTTATTGTTTTTAAAAATTTTTTATTTGAAAGGCAGAGTTACAGAGAGAGAGGGCGGAGGAGAGACAGAGAGATCTTCCATCTGCTGGTTCACTACCCAAATGGCCACAGCTGGCTGAAGCCAGGAGCTGGAACTCTATCTGTGTCTTCTACGTGGGTGGCAGGGGCCCAAGCATTAGGGCCATGGTGTGCTGCCTTCCAGACACATTACAGAGAGCTGGATCAGAAGCGGAGCAGCCGGAACTCAAACCAGTGCTCATATGGGATGCCATTGTCACAGGCAATGGTCTAACCTGCTACACACAATGCTGGCCACTAACTTCTATTCTGTAAAAGAAGAAGGTGTGACAGAGACTATACAATTCTTACAGATAATAATTTATTAGGGACATTGTCAGAACATTTAATATAAGAGCTCATCAATGTAGATGAAAAACCACTCAGTGCAGACAATATCGGCTCTACCTAAATCCCTTCGCTCAGCACTCACCACTCTGTGCACCGGCGCTCATTCCCCTTCCTCCCTACAGATTCCTTTGGATAGGTTCTTGTCGCTCTAAAGTTCTATGCCAGGAGTTGCTGAACTACCATCTGTGGGCCAAACCAGCTGCCTGCTCGCGCGCTCTTTTCCTTCCTTCCTCTCTCTCTTCCTCTTTCTCTCTCTCTCTCTTTTTTTTTTTTTTTGACAGGCAGAGTGGATAGTGAGAGAGAAAGACAGAGAGAAAGGTCTTCCTTTGCCGTTGGTTCACCCTCCAATGGCTGCCGTGGCCGGCGCACCGCGCTGATCCGATGGCAGGAGCCAGGTGCTTCTCCTGGTCTCCCATGGGGTGCAGGGCCCAAGCACTTGGGCCATCCTCCACTGCACTCCCTGGCCACAGCAGAGAGCTGGCCTGGAAGAGGGGCAACCGGGACAGAATCCGGCGCCCCGACCGGGACTAGAACCTGGTGTGCCAGCGCCGCAGGCGGAGGATTAGCCAAGGGAGCCGAGGCGCCGGCCTACTCTCGTTCTTTCTTTCTTTCTTCCTTCCTTTCTTACTTTCTTCTTGACAGTGAGACACAGACTGAGACTGACAGACAGAGATTTTCTCTCCGCTGATTCACTCCCCAAATGCCCACACTGCAGAGCTGTGTGGCCAGACCAAAGCCAGGAGCCTGGAGCTCCATCTGAACTCAGTCTGGGTCTCCCACATAGGTGACCAGGAAACAAGTACTTGGGCTATCATCTGCTCTCCCCATCCCCACCCGCAAGGTATGCATTAACAGGAAGAGAGAGAGAGGGAGA